GTTTCAAACCCTTCACTCTATTCAATCCTTTTTCTTACCTGATGTCAGTCACCACCAACAACAGTCTACTCTGGACCAGACCATCACACTCAACATTTACAAAACGATCCTAGGTTCAAATTTTTCACTTTCATGCAACCCACAATTAATTAGTATGGCAATATATATGTCAGGGCATGTTGTACCATGTGCATGCTGTGAGGCAGTACTGTAGGTTTGCTACTATTTCTAATTCATTGTTACAGCATGTTGTACCATGCACGTGCTGTAAGGCAGTACTGCAGGTTTCCTACTATTTCTAATGCAATGTTAAGGTATATTATACTATGTAAATGCTGTGAGGCAGTACTGTAGGTTTCCCAGTGTTTCTATTTCATTGTTACGACATGTACCATTTACGAGCCAGTACTGTAGTTTTCCCACTTTTTCTATTGACTGTCTATTACCATCAGTTTAAAGATTATTAATCTTGTTCTTTTCGATAACGATAGCTAAGAAACTTCCCAAGAGTGAAAATGCACAAGGCGGAGGGCAAGCTGCACAGGGACGTCAAGGGAGAGTAGACCTTCACGAAACCAACCCACAACCCAACAGTGGTTGTTGTAAATGATCTATCCTCAAAATACCTTTAAGATGTGATTTTAACAGAAAACAATGGTCAATCTGTAGTGCCAATTTTGTACAAGACACTGAAAATGTCTCTAGAAATACACCCGCCAGCATGTGAATGCAACAAGGGAGCAGATGCCGCTAAACAATGTAAATGTATTGTGATATATAATACTAATTATAGCATCTTCCTTTACACCTAACATGTTTACAATTATCTGTATTCTTTGCACTGGAGTAAGGTGTTTGTTTAAATTGTTTTAATAATTGTAACTTGTAAATTAGAATGATGAACTGTTGTCTGTAATATTCCATTGCTCCAGGTTAGCTAGAGATATTGAGGCTCACTTCAACAATGACCCCCCTCTAGGGCAGTCCTTTATCTTAAAACAAATTAGATTTATACCCGAGAATATTTTTTCATTTTTATTTCTGGTTTCCATCAAATACTGCTTTATAAATATGTTCCTTGATATCCTCAGCTAACTATAAATCATTCCAATAAACTATTCCTTTTAATTTTTTCTCATGTTAAATTTTTGAAATTCCAATTAATTCTCTTATAAAGGGTCAATAATATTCCAAGTTTCTTGTACATGAATTCATCACACTTCACTTCCCGGTAATGTTGAGACAGAGTTCTAATATCATATCTTTTATAACTTTCCCATCATAGTGATTATTTCATGCATTAAATGTTTCTTTAGTGGTAATTCTGTGGAGCGTTTGCACATATTTAGTTTCTGCATGTATGTATATAACTATGAAAAACTTTCTTGGTTGTCAGTTATCTTTAAAAGATCGGCCAATTCTTTGTTTTCATGTGACGTCATAGCTTTAATTCAACATGGCTGCCATCTTTTATTATTTCATTCTATGAAAGATTTCCAAAGGAATCTGGCGTGATTCGTGACTTTTGAATCACGCCAGATTACTTTGAGTCACGCCAGATCCCTTCACAACTTAAGCCTCACATCGGTGCGAGTTTTGAATTTGGTCTATAGGAATCTTGTTTGAGTGAAAGCAGAAAAGAGATGACATACTGTAACCATGATGCATTATGGGTGTCGCAAGATTGTAAAGTGTTCTTCTAAAAATTGAAACAAAATTACTGTAGTTTTGTCGACAATTCTAATAGAATTGAATATGGCTTTCTAGAGGGGAAAAGCACTACAACAGGGAAGGAARTGATGAAAGAACAAAAGAATGCGTCCAAGCTATGACGTCACATGTCGACTATGACGTAGCAATGCCTGCATTCCAGTAATGATCTTGATTCATTCATATTAATCTCATAGATACGTCTTTATTTGGGGTGAACTGTTTACTTATGGCCTGAAAATAAATTATATGTTGGAAAAATAGCTTCAAGCACTTAAATATCTCGCACAATCGAGAATTTCGATAAATGGTTTTGATTCGTCGTGTCAGTACCTCCGTCTTTAGAAACTAGCTATCCAAAAACTTTAGGGTGTCACCTCTCAAACCGTTTAGTTTATGCATGCTTCATGGATCTATTGACACTGATGGCAGAGTTTCCCTCTAATATTTTTACCCCGTAAGAAAAATGTGAGACTTTGCCAACAGGGTAGGTTCTATTGAAATTTTGCATGTTTAAGATGCTCCAATTTGAGACTTTGCAATTGTGCTATGCATTGTATCCTAGCTAATATCAGTGTAATTGGGAATAGCCTTACAAGTTTGTTGTCAATGCACGTATGTTGCAACGGCACTAATATTTAGTTATACTGTGACCTATATATTTAAGAAATGGCTTTCACTCTTCTAGGAAGGCTGGCATGTACTGTAATGTTTTTGATTCAAGAACCACATTACTCGAGATCATAACGCACGCTAACCTTCTACTACGAGTTTTATTGTATAGTACTGAGGACTGTCCTCCCATTCGTGCTCTGAGTGTGATCGTGGCATTTTCTCAATTCGTTTCGTTCCTCTAACACATCACTATGACAACTGATTCTCCCATTTCTATAAGTGAAAGAGAATCAGCTCTATGTATTTCACTTYCACTCGTAGTCACGTGCACCTTAAACCTGGAGTCTGAAATTATCAAAAACAGAAAGAACAATTATTGGTTACTATAAGCTGATAATGAAACGAATAAAATATGCTGGTTGATTTGAATCATTAATATTTCGATCTGCCGTTGACAATGGTGTGAGTTTGATGACGTTATTTGTTTTACTTTTCCATCGTCATTTAACTTGCCAACCAGATATCTATTGGTTAAATCTAACAAAGCGAAGTCACAAAACCTTGTTCACTTCATTGGTTGGAATAGTAACACAGACCAAAATGACGATATTTATAGGCCCCGTCAACACGTATTTATATATGGTTCCGAATCTCTTTAGTTACCGTTCATGTCCTACAGGCTAGATTAACAAATTGTYTAGAACATCTCGGAATTCAAAACCCTCTAAAAAAGAAACTGTGTAGATGTTTTGTGAGACAAAACTTTAGTTCCATTGGTAAAACTGCTGCTGCAACAGTGATTGCTTCGCTATTGTCTGAATCTGAACTATGAATTCGGATATTTTTCGAAACGAATTTTTAAGATGCTGTTTTGAAAAAAAATCGTTTTCGTTCGTCGTCGTCCGTTTTCAAAAAGTGCCTTTAATAAGGCAAAAAAACTGTTTTCAAATATCAGGATACGTGTGGACTGGTTTGCGCTTTAATCGATATGCTTAACTGAAGATCAATAGCAGCATCGATCAGCATCTGTTTGAGTCAACATCTCACACGGGTCTAATGCGCTTTCGAAACAGCTCAGTTTTGGTCTCACTGACAAAAATACTAGTGCTTTTAACAGCAAATTAACGTCTACGATTATATTAGTATAAACCTACTTATGGTCTATTAAATCCGGCTGCGTCCTGATTGGCTGAGATACTAGTGGTCTATTTTTGAAACTAAAACAACGCTGGCAAAAAAAAAAAAATTATTTCAACCTAATTTCAGTATTGTTTGTATTCATTTATTTGAATTATTAGATAGTAGGTTTATACTAAAAAAAATTAGACGTGCAGCCTCATGGTCTACGAGATAGCCAATTCGGCCTTCGGCCTAATCAGTGGGCCATTGACTACTTGACCAATTTTGCCGCTGGTCTATTTTTTAATTAGTCAAATYCAACTGACTAGGGTCTATCATCAATGCTGCATTCTGATTGGAAGAGCTATAAACAGGCTATAAATTATAGCCTAGTAGTAGTGAAAAGTGCCGGCTTTGAAAAACATTAAATTTACTTTACTTCAAAATATGTTTGCATTATATATTTGATTGACTTGTTGCATTTGACTAAAACTTATCGGCCTCATGCATGGGCTATTGGCTCGTAGTCAGGATGGCGAGATATGACTATCAATTGCTACTAATAGTCCAGGAAATATGGTTTGAGAAGACAAGTACTCCATCAGTAGAAAGGAATCGGCCATTCAATTAATATATGTCGTTAATCAATGGCAAAATCTTGCTAATGGGATAAATACTTACACACAGCACGGTCAACAGCGCACAAAGTTCTAATCACCGCTTATTTCATCAAGTCATTTAGTATTTGGTCACCCAGTAGATATATGATATATATACATACATCACGGAAGAACATATGGATATTAAATCCTACTGCGTTATAACCTCCAACTCTCTTGTTCATGGAAGCACCTGGGCTTAACCAGAAACGCCTGCAAGGTAGTCTAGGAAACAAAAGACTGGCCCTGGCACAGGAGTACCTCTGCCTTCATCGACACGTGACCTTGGATGAATAATAGTCCTCAAGTATAATTACGTTTCATACAGTACACTTCAAACATCGCCTTTTCGGTAGCCATTCTTGTTATGCTAATTTTCACCATTGTCTTGGTATTCTCGAAGGGGTTTGAAAATATGAAAATATGAAAAAAAGTACAAAAAAAAAAACAAACAAAAAACAAAGGCATTTTAAGACTGTGATCCACAGGTATCCCTGTAAAGAGATGTTGAAACATCATTACGGTTAGGGTCATACGGGGACATATAGGAGCATGTCGTGTATGTCTCGTCTTCATGGATTATAGGCACGACAGATGTCATTCTCGTAACGCAACCCAAAGCCTTCTCAGCTTTCTACGGCGAAAAATCTTAGATTTTTTTTAGTGAGAAGGGTCTTGGTACGAGAATGGACCGATGTGTGTAGGGAGTGTCGCATGTATGGACGGAAACGTTCACATGTCGTTTACGACTTGTCGCGTATCGTTGGCGTAAGTGYCGTATGTATCATTTACGTCTTGTCGTCTCCAAAAAAAACTGATCTCCAGATGGGATTTGATGTTTGTATAATACTTGTTTTCTTGCATTATCTTCAGTAACGAGAGACCTGCACCTCTTTTTTCAACATGAACTTCTTACTTACTTTGAGCCGCGGTATGCATGACTTGAATTCCGCCAATCCCCATTTTGAAATTCGGTGCTAGTTTGAGTTCTACAGATGTATTACTATCACAAGGCTAATGTTGTTAAGTATTGAGCCATATTTGGCGACAAATATCACGGAAGAATTCGAAACATTCTATACTGCTAGATGACAGCTGGTCTTTCGTTACATTAAATCATCAGCTGTTTGAGCTTAACCATCAAAATACTTCAGCAAAGGTCAACTAGCGTCTGTAGTTTGGAATGTTTGCATGTGTCGTGCAGTACTTAAAATATCCCGCAACACGAGAAGGAATAGTTATAAATGTTGGCGTTTTCAAGGTCAGTGCTACAAACTCTTTTCTGAACAACGCGCGGGAAAATGGCAGCTCCATGCGAATCAGAGCCAGATTTCTCTCAGCCTTGGAAAGTAAGTGACATTGTGCTTCTTGTAGACGATGTTCGCTTGCATGTGCATTCTGGGGTTCTAGTGATGTGGTCTCCAGTCTTCGAAAATATGTTTGCTGAATTGAAAAGAAAAAATGCAAGAGTACTGACGTTGGAAAAACAAAAGCCTAATGAAATCCGTGAGCTTCTCTTGGTTATTTACCCTACGATTAAAAGGCCAATCAATGAAAACAACTGCTATTACCTTCTTGAGATAGCGGAGCAGTTTCAAATGAGGAAAGTGACGGAACAATGCGAAGAGTATTTGATGAGGACGCTCAAATCTGGCAGCGAATTGGTGGATCTATTGGTTTTGGCGTCGAAGTACAACATGCGAATCCTTCGAGAAGAATGTTTAAAACTAACAAAACAGCTCGAATGGAAGGTTATTCAACAGCACAATCTTTATGAGCAGATTGAATTGAAAGATTATCGAGAGATAGCCGAAGAGAGGCTCAGAAGTTTGCACAACGACCATCAAAGTGAGAAAGAAAAGGCTTTTCGACTAGAAGAAGAGTTGGACTACTACCGACGACAGGGAGAACTAGCTCGTACACCGTCCTCTTGCGTTGTCAACCCAGGACTGGCGAGCCCAAGATTGCCTAGAAAACAAATAGTCCAGCCCTGCAAGTCAAGACCCGTGCAAGTCGTACTGAATACTAGAATAAAACCTGCTGTTCAGAGCCCAGAGAAGAGTCCTCATGTTCCTCCGCCCGTGCCTAAACGAGCTCATTTTCCGGTCAAACCTCAGCCGATCATCAAAGAATTTTAAGTCAGAATCCGGCATATTGAGCAGCAAGCAATGCCGCCTAGATCTGCAAGTAAACTGGAATATATAATCCGCGTCAAACTGAAGTGACACGAAGTTCAATGACCTAGTCCTACACTGATGCTAGCAGATTTCCAAAAATAGTTGAAAAGGATATTTCATCGAAGTTACCGGCGCTGATTGACATGAAAACGGAATCAAAGAAACTCAATATATATACTTTACCATCCCTTCATTGCTAGACATTCATTTTGTCTGATTTTGTAATAGGCTAGCTAGTATTCCACTTATTGTTAGAACAATAGCGATAGATATAGAGGTATTAGGACTGAGTCGTGACTGAAAAAAATCCTCACTTTTTAGTGAGGATCTTGGAACGATATCTAACTATTTCAAAAAATGTTGGTGAAGGTTTTTTTGCATGTCGCATCTTGGTTACTAAGCTTGAGATATATTATATTCGTGTTATGTGAATAATGTCAGCCATTTAGATCCAACACGACCTTCTCCCGTGTGTGATTCAAAAAGCGCCAAAACTTGTCGATTTTTTACAAGTATTATGAGCCACACTCACCAGGCCTATCCGGGCCGATCCAAACGCGTGTAAATGACGTCAACGTGTTTGATTGACGGCAGTCTATTGCAAAGTCCACGTCGCGGTTTTTGTCTGGGGTGGAAGCGTAGTAATGCAAATGGCTGTAATTTGCATGTTACATACCAAGCCCGCGTAGCAATGCAAACGGCGGTAACAAAACCTTCAACAATCTTTTTTTTGAAATAACTGCATTTTCTGTGGGACAAAGGTACTGACTGTATCTAGAACTGACTTGAAGTTCTCGAAACTGACCTCTTCAAGTAAGTTGGGCGTAATGTTTTCCTATTTCAGACGTGTCATTCTCTTGAAAATAAAATTCTAAGATTTAAATGCACAACCGTTAAACAAAGAAATGATACTCTAGGGAATGCCAAACTAAAAAAGGTCTAACGAGCATGCGCAAACGTTTTTGTCCTGTGTTACTTCCGCACAAAGTCGTGGTGCAGTGACGGATTCAGGATTTTTCAAAACGGGATCCAGATTTTCCACTTCTTAGCTTTTACTATATGAGTGCTGTTCGTTTGAATACAAATTATAAAACTTGCCTCACCTTATTTAATCAKATGTTAATCAGTCATCAGCCAAAACATTTCGACACAGGTAGTCCATTCAGTTGGTCGGGGAATGGCGATGGCACGATCTTTTTGGAATACTTGAGCTTCGCAAATTACCAGTACGACGCCAAAAACAAGCTATATCAACAGGACACAACCCAAAACTTCTGTAATCTTTTTAATTAATATCTACAGATTTTTTTCTTGATGTCCAAAAATTCAAACCTTACACACACAAAAGCGGTGAAGAAAAAAAAAAAAAAAAACGGGTGCAGCGGACCCCTTCGCCCTTCCCCTAGATCCGCCACTGTGGCGTTTTTTAGTGTAATGAACTCAAGAAAGCGACTAAGGAAAGTGCTGTACGCCATTAGCTATGCTTTATAAAGTTTGCTACGTTTGCCCCCACGGCATGCATCCTATAACTCAAGGTTTTTTCTTTTTTTAGTAGAAAGCGATATACACACTTCTTTGCTGAATGTCTTTCTTTATTAATAGTTTTATTTTTCCCTGTCTATACGTGGTGTTTGAAAATTTGTTCAATATTCTAACTATAATTTATTCTATCTAACTTTAGCTTTAAGCCTTTATAGCGGCTCAGGATACAAACTATGGGATTAGAGCCACTACTGTCAATATGAGGCAAGCGGCCAACTTTTCTTGGCATTTCAATTGATTATGTTTTTACTGCTACGGCGGCCATCTTGAATTATGATGCCGAGGGGCAAACAGAAACATTTAGAAAGCATAGTATGCCGGGTTACCTCTTTAAAATAATTATTATAATAATTATATAAAATAAGTCTTGGTGTTTCAAATATTGTTCTAACTACCAACAATTCAATTGCTTTTTCGATGTGCTTCTCATTGAAAAGCGTAAAGTTATATAAAGATACCGTGACAGCAGTGTAGTCTAATAGTTTTTCCAATTTTCCAGTTGCCCCCTCGGCTTCTAATGTCTCAATTAAAACAATATAATTCAAGATGGCCGTCGTACCGGTGAAAAGGTCTATCAAGATGAACGGTTTAGGTAAATTTAAATTCCCTTAGGAGTTATATGGCTGACATTAAAGTGCTTATAAGCCTTTACACAATATTTTCAGAATTGATTCTTTAAATAGTGAATAGTTGATTGTGAAAATAATTCGTCATCTGAATGTCGGGTCTTTGAGATACGAAGGTTTATATTCCCAATATGTTAATGACTATGACGTAACATAAGGGATTTGAGTTATTTTGTGGCAACTTTTAATATTGAACGCTGGACAATTTTTGAAAACAAATTTGTAAGAACCTTTACGTGAGTCACGAGTAAAAGGGTGATGCTTTTAAAATACTGTAATCCAGAACGAGTGCAGTGTTGTATATTAAATGTTCCCTTATGTTACGTCATAGCCGTTAACATATTGGGAATATAAACCTTCGTATCTCAAAGACCCAACATTCAAATGACGAATTATTTTCACAATCAACTATTCACTATCTAAAGAATCAATTTTGAAAATATTGTCTAAAGGCTTATAAGCACTTTAACCGTTTCATCCGAATCTCTCATTTACTCATTCCTCTTCACAGAACCCTTGCTATGGAGTTTTTTCCATAAACTACAGCGAGAAAAGCATTCTCTTGTTCAATAAGCCAATCATATTTCTTTTCCAATAAGCTGGGGTAAAAAATAAGTTGAAGGGAGAAAAAAATGTCTCTATATGTGATAGACAGAAGATGAATGTGTTTATACATATGATTTCATACATTACTAATACTGCCACACTTATACCTATAAAAATGAAAGCTTGTTGACAGTGTTGCAGGTTATTGCTAAAAAATAGTTGAGAATATTCTGTGCTATCAAAACTGGTCAGAAACATCCCAAGCGGTACTCTTAATCCACTGCAGTGTTAATAATGAAGAAATAAAAAACACACGCGCACGTGCTGCGTGCAGTTACAAAGCACGTGGGGGTTGGCAGAAAACGAGAGAAGTGTTAAGAGAAGCACAACGCGAAGCGGAGTGCTTCTCGACACTTCTCGAGTGTTCTGCCAATCCCCAAGTGCTTTATAACTCCACACAGCACAGCAAGCAAGTTTTTTATTTCTTTTATAAAATACAAATTACAATAACCGTTATTTTAGATAGGAATGAGGCAACTGAAAGTGTGCGCGCGTGGTATGTGCTCTCATAAAGCACGCGCTTCCATCCAATCAGAACTCGAGTTTTATAACAGTTATTTCATAAGGACGATAAATATGCTACATTCAACATGCTACGACAATTCTGCGATTATTTTATTGAATGATATACTTCATCATATTTATAGAGCATAACTAAATACTCTGCTATAGCGCAAAACCCGATAATTTTACGTTCACTTTTCTGTGAAACCGTCTGTTTTACCAAATAAGGCACTTGCCCGCGCATGCGTATTGGTACAAGAGATTTGGAGCGGCGTTTTCTTGCCAGTTATCCCTAACCCCTTGCTTGGCTATGGCTAAAGTGCCCAGCGAGCAAGCAGAGCATCGTTGCTCTTTACAAACTCTTTACAATATACAGAAATAAAAATACACTTGTAAGGCTATCCCAGGGGCTATACAGAAGACTTTCTAGGGCAAAACTATTGTTGAGAAACTAAAGAAACTTTGCAAAAAGCTCTTTGGCAATTTTAGTAACGAAAAATAAAACAAAGACATAAAAAAAGTCGCTTCGAGTTGAGTCCGTATTGAAACTCGCTTTGATCTGCCAAACATTACTACAAGAGGCTACCAAGTATAAATTCTTTTATTTACATTAGTAGCTTTGTATTTAATTTAATTTATTTATTTTGAGTAAGTCGAAAGGACTTTCATTAGCAACAACGGCCTCTAAAAAATGTAGACCCAAACGTCTTGCCAAATTTCGCTCATGAAAAAACTTTTTTTTTCAAATATGATAGTTTTTTTTCTTCCATAGCATGAACAGTTAAAATATCATTGATATAYTCCTTATGATAGGGATAAAAACGAAGACTTGTTTATTGTCACTTCAAGACGTTGCTTAAAATATACTTCGAGATCCTTGCACAAACTAGTCTCAAAGCGTTGCGTGACGACACTGAAAGCGGCTGTGGGGGAGACTATGCACAAACTTGTTCCTTAAAAGATTATCTCAAACAGGATTGGAACACTAACACGAAACTTTGGTTCCAACCCCAGCAAATTGTACAAGGGCATGATAGTAGAATGCTCCGGAGTAAAATCCCAAAAGCGAACATCAAGCACAATTTGAAGGACAAAATAACAATATTTGAATCTCACGAGAAATTAAATTCAACCTTTTTCCTTTAATATTGAGTTGATTTATTTTCGATTTATAAAATAATTGGTATACTACGCGCGCTAGGATTGGTTGAAAACCATGTTTGATGAGAGTGTCAAAACACGCTATCGTCATTTTTAATCTATCGCGCGCGCTCATTGGTCAGTTTGAATAAGACGGCACGTAGGGAGAATTTACTTAGACTTTGCTTTTTTTCGATCTTTTCGCGCGTTTGTTATTTTATAAAACAAATCAAAAACAGTTTTCTGTGTTTGATACTCTGATCAAAACACTTGGGATGTTGGGAGAACACTCGAGAAGCTGGAAACCACTCCGCTACGCGTCGTGGTTTCCTACGCTCCTCTCGTGTTCTCCCAACATCCCGCGTGTTTTGATCAGAGTATCAAACACGGAAAACTGTTTTTGATCTGTTAAATCTTAAACAGAAAATGGGTTTATCTGATACATTCCTAAAATCCAATATTACAGAATTAAAAAGCAGATTTGTCTACAAGCTTTATTCGTTTATATGTTCACAAGCTAGTGTCTAATGTAGTTGCACTATAATAAAATTCATAATTAACCACACGCAGCCCGGAAATATATGCATTGAAACATCAGGTGCCGGCGTCCATAATACAGCTTGGACTGCCTGTGGTTGGATGGCAGAACAATAAATTTCCTTTACTCTCGGGAATAAACCCTTGTCAGCACGTCAGAATGAAGCTCAATTGGGAGGACATAACAATAAGTTTCCAATTCTCAATTGAGCTACTTTGAAGTCACATGCAAGGAGTTTATTGAATTCTTTCTCATGTAAAACGATTGTATTGTTGCTGCAACAACAACATGGCTGTCGTGACGTGGTGGTGCAAAGCCTCTATAGAAAGTTGAATCATGAAACTTTGACGTCTTTATAGAACCGTTGTTGGTTGGTTTTGAAAAGTATTTTAACATATACAAAAATATAGACTTATACCAAGACGTTTTCTTTACTGCATCATACGACAATTCTCACAGTTTTGTCTACAAGAGCTTTGTATATATATTTTATTGATATATGTCTAAGACAGGGTCTAGAGCTTTAATCAGACTTCAACTAGTGACAAATGTAAAACGAGAAAGAAAATGCCCAAAATTGCCAAACAACTTTGCAAAGTGACACAATATTTATCATCAATAATCCTGACAAAAACACCGAAGAACACATTTAGATTTTTTTCTAGTCGAAGCTTATTCCTAGTGAAAACTTTTCAGTTCTTAACCGTCAAAAACAATAAAATTACAATTTCTTATTCATTTTGTACAACTGGCCATCCTAAATCATACCTGTGAAGTCCGCGTTACCTGTGCCTGCGCTTCCATTGTTATAGTTTTGATTGGAAATACTCGTGGAGTTCTGAGTCTGTTGATCAATTGGGAGGTTGTTTAGTTCGTCGTCTAGAACGTTCCCTAGTTCGGGGAGCGGTGCCGACGAAATAGTTAGTGACTGCGGATTGAAGTTTGAAGCCGACTGTATGTTATTATTTTTTTGAATTAGTTCGTTGAGTTCTCGCAAAATATTCTGTTCGGTGTATGAAGTAGTTGAGGATAAAGGTCGCATCTGATGCCTCTGTTGCTGCTGCTGYTGTTTTAGTTGTTGCTGCTGCTGCTGTTTTAGTTGATGTTGTTGTTGCTGTTGCTGCTGCTGCTGTTGTTGTTTTAGTTGTTGCTGCTGCTGCTGTTTTAGTTGATGTTGTTGTTGCTGTTGCTGCTGCTGCTGTTGTTTTAGTTGTTGCTGCTGCTGCTGTTTTAGTTGATGTTGTTGTTGCTGTTGCTGCTGTTGTTTTAGTTGATGTTGTTGCTGCTGTTGTAACTGTTTCTGTTGTTGCTGTTTCTGTTGTTGTTGTTGGGATCGAAGGAGCTCGAAATGCTGCTGGTCTTGCTGTTGTAGTTTGTGTTGCTGAAAAAGTGTTTCCTGTTGGCTAAATGATTGTGTTGCTGTTTGTGGTTTCGTTCCTTGCGGCGGTATCTGATACGGTCGTTGTAATGTCGGTATTTCTGGGCCAGACTCTTGTTGCTGTTGCTGTTGCTGTTGTTGCCAAGAAGGCTGCCTCGACATCTGTCCCTGCTGCTGTGTCCCCCAATGCGGACGAGGGGAAGCAGAAGGATGATACGAAGAACTTGTTCTATCAGAAAAGACGTTTGCACGAGTTTCACTCGTTTCTCTGTTCATATTTGCATTGGTCATGGAAACTGGGGCCTCTGCCTTCACACTTTCCAAGCCAGAAGAGAATCCCGGGCTGCGTAATGGGCCACTCCTTTGATAAAGTCCAGACGATTTCATTTGCGAGTCGTTCGTAAAATTCGACATGTTTTGAAAGCAGTCAGAGAAAGGCGTTTGGGGTTCGGTTGATGTTGGTGTCACCACTTCTTGTTTTATTTCCTGTCGAGGAATCAACGTACTCATAACGGATGCATTGCTATCAAAGTCACTACCAAAGCTCTGAGAAGTTCTAGTATTGTCACTGTCATCAATACTGTCTCCTAACAACGATTCCACGATATCAAACATCATGTCATCACTTAACATGTCGCTATCTTGACTTGGCATGAAAGCCAATTGTTCTAGAAGAGTTTTAGGCTTCCGTGAAGATAATGTCGAGCTTTTTGGTTTACTACTTTGATAGGAATTGGGTGATGTTGCTACCGCAGGCGCGGGAGGCATTCTTTTATCTTCAGACAAGCCAATAAAGCCTTGCTCAGGTCCTTGGACATAAGCTACTGTTGGCTTTGTTGACRTTGAGGTCGAGCTCCCTGTATACGTAACTGAGCCCTGCGAAGCTGAAGAAGAACTGGGCATTTGATATGGGTCATTATCTTGAGTATCAGGAAGAACTGTAATAGTTGCAGTCGATCTGCCAGGTTTATTGCACATTTTAGACCCGCTCATATTTATATTTACACACTGCATATGGCTCAATCTAGGGATCTTGCTGGGAATGTTATTCTCGAATAAAGTGGTTCCGTAATCGTAAGTCGTTCCACTTGCAGGGCGTTTACTAGGACCCTCTGGTTTAACGCTGCTTGAGCTCTTAGGAAACTCGGAGGTATTACTGACAGCTTGAGAGCAGAACTGTAGAGACCCAAAATCGCTTTGCATCTCGTCGTCTTCAACTTTCGGCAGGACGTTTCGGCCAACTTGGAACTCTGTTGTAGATTCGGGAATCTCTTCAATGTAACCAGCGATCGGCCCTAACTGAGAGGGCGTTGCCTGATAAATCGACTGAGCATTTCCAGACACGACAAAATCGATGAGAGATCGATCAAAGGTCGACATATCGGCATCAATAATATCAACAATATCTTGTAGGTCTTTATCTTCGATATCATTTTCCGGGCTGCTTTCTTGGTCCGATGTGTTGTCTATCCATTTATGATGCTTGGACCAAGTTTTGAGAGATTCGTTGAATTGGTTGCTGTAGCCTGTACGCTGAAGAGCCATTTGGTCAAGCACGGTTTGTTCTGGAACCAATTTATCGGCTACAGAGAGGAAATAGTGAATTAATAATTGAAAAAGATAACTAGCTAAAAACTAGTGTGAGCTGCGTCGGTGTTTCTAATGAAACAGTAATGATGAGAAGGTAAATTATACACCGTGAAAAGATGAAAAAACTTACTAAAGTTAAACTTAGTAAGTTTTTTCATCTTTTCACGGTGTATAATTTACCTTTTCATCATTAATAATTGAAAAGTGCGTTAACAAAGGGGGATCGTAAAGTTGGTTTTGTGTATGGCTGACATAAAGCACGGGCACATTGCAGGAAAGATAATAATAAGAATAATAATGGAACTTATATAGCGCACATATCAAAATTCATGGCGCTTAAGATGACATCCTTTAAAGTGCTACTCTGACGAAAATCGCTCAAACTTGGATTCAGCTGAAACTTCCTTTGTAAATAAATCCTTAATTTATTTTATTCCTATGAAGCCCAAAGGGTGGCTAATGTGCGTATTTCACATTACTTGTGACTATAATTTATATTTTGAGGTGTTTGGGTATTTCTTTCTCCCTTTACTACTGATATTTTGATCATAAACTACAAAAGAAATGTATGGAGCGATGTTCGATGTTGAGTGTACGACGTCACAGACTCCAAAAAATAATCGTAAAAATATCATACTTTCATCCTGAATATCGAGAAAACACTTCATACAGTGCTTATTGGACCTTTATAGAGTATTCTTAGGAAGTTTCAGCTGAATCCAAGTTTGAGCGATTTTCGTCAGAGTAGCAATTTAAACAAATGGCAGAGCGCAATGATTTTTCTCCATCATTAAAATTAATTAGCAATTGTTGTTTTTCGCATAGATGGAGGCGTACAGCGATACTTTATGTTCATGCTTGCTGCAAGTATTCCAGAGTTACAGCGCATACCAATCACACGTCGCGACAAAATAGAGTTTTGGTGGACGTCAATYAAAGTTTTTCCAYGACATTGTCAGAACACACAAACGTTTGGAGGGCACACGCCTATGGAATGGCATGACAACGCCTTGATTGACCTCCCTCCACCAAAACCTACTTTGTCATCACGACGCCCAAAAGAGATAGGCGTTCGAATCGATGGGAGATTTGATCGACGGGTAATTCTAAGATCAAAGAATAGCTRGAATGACTTGTTCCTTATTATTATTCTCGTCAAGGACCCAGTGGACGAAACCATCTTTAAGACCTCAGTTATTCGTGTTTTAAATAAATGTATGCCCACAATTCCTTTCGGTCTTGGAATGACCTATTCGCCACTTTCTATACATTAGTTCAATGGTCAAACGAAAGCACTGCGGCGAGGCTTCACGGTGATTTTAAAGGATTATTCAAATTTGAGCCTTGCAGCCTCGACTGAATGCTTTGTATTTGACAGCCTTTTTGAAATAGATGTTTACGTCTATTTTTAAAAAATAGGTAAAATAATATGGAAAAAATTGTACTTACAAGTAGCGTGCCATTTTGGAAACACCATAATTTGGTCATCAATAAGCGCATCACTTAATTCGCCAGAATTATCAGCTTCGCAAGGAACTTCAGTTAGTTGTGAGGTGTCGTCCATTTCTGGCTTGTCTTTGAGCTGCGCCATTCCCAACACAACGCTACGGTGTTCCACATCACTAGAAGGTAAAACAGTGTTAACCAAGATCGCGTTAACTATAGTAACAATAGGTGGCAACAGCAGCACCTTATTATAGCTGTTATAAATCTCGCGTTCTGATTGATTGGGAGCGCGTGCTTTATGAGAGCACACAGCATACGTGGGCACTTTCCAATGCGTCACTCCTATCCAAAAAAACAGTTTTTTTAAAAAACTTGCCTGCTAAACTGTGTGTAGTTATAAACCACAAAATCCACCAATACCAGTAACACCAATGCCCCCACCCCCACCCCCACAACCAAATACATCAACGGAACACACTATCCACCAATACCACCACCACCCCTACAGCCATCCCCACCACTACCACCACCACCACCACCAAATACATCAACATCCACCAATGCCAGTAACACCAATACCACCACCCCCACTACCACAACAAATACATCATCAACCGAACACACTATCCACCAATACCAGTAGAAGTAACAGTAACAACAACGAAAACAGGATGACAGTATTACCGCCAAAACATACAAACAAAACAAAAAAATAATTTTTAGAACTGATTAGGAAATAAAAAAGTTGGAAACGGGATTGATAGATTTGCTCTTAAACGTTATAGATTTGCTCTTAAACGTTATACCTTAAAATGTAGTTGAGACACAACATTTGTTTGAGGCCAGGGTTTGTTGGATGAGGAATGAGCGATGCTTTAGTCTGCATCCAAACCCATCCGCCATTCTTATTCATCCATCGGTAGTACTTGGTCCAAACTTGACCCTTCGAAAGAACTGAAATTATGACAAGAAAGATGATTTATTACATGTCATTGCAGCAGATTTCTTATTACAGCTATTCTCAATCACACGCGCCCTCTAGCGATTGCCTCTGTCGCGACGAAGGAGGTTTTGGTGGATGTCAATCACAAGGCGTTTCCATAACATTGTTGGAAAACACAAAGCTATATGGGCACGTGCCTATAGGATGTTATGGAAACGCCTTGATTGACGTCCACCATAAGATTTTCCGTCGCGACAGAAACAATCGCTAGAGCGGCGCGTGTGATTGAGAATGGATGTAACACGATTCTTAGCCCCTAGCTAGAAGATATGTGCCGTTCATAATCGAATAAATTACGAAACTCAAAACTATAGATTTTTCTGAGCTAGAATATTGCTTAAAAGCATAGAATATACAAATTTAATCGTTTTTTTCTTTCGGGGGCGGGGGGAGACTCGTAAATCATTTTACAGTTGATTGCCTAAAAAAAAAATTCTCAAATATTAAGAGGAATTTTTTTTCAATAATGAGCAATAATGCCAAAAAGCGCCCAAAACTAGACTTTCGTATGAGTTTTGATCCAATTTTCGTTTTGGGTTAACACTTGAAGCCTTTTTCAAACAGTTAGAAACTGATGTACAATGATAAAATGCCTGTTTGAATCGGTAATTTCAATTATACAAAGATGTTTTCTTGCATTTTTTGTTAAACTGTTGCTTTGTCAGGTTTTTCTATAGAAAATATATGAGAAATAAGCAAATGAAGGCCTAAACCTCATTTTCGAATAAAATTTTTGCTTTGGGTTAACACTTTGATTTCACTTTCATCGGTCATCTCCGCTTCCAAACAAGTTAAACTTTCTGAATAACAAGATTTTCGCCTTGTACAACAGCCTTTCTTCAAGAAAATAGTTTTTGGCGCTCACTGCTTGGATATAATGATCTCTTAAAATGATAAATGAGTTGTATTGAGCACTGCTTCCGCAGGGTGCCGATACCCTCGGAGCATTGAATGAAAAGAGCCAAAAAACAACCCACGATAAATATAAAAGAAGTCTGGCAATAACTCAGCAATTTATACACAAAGTTTTTATTCTTTTCAGACGAGGGTTATCTGGGGTTTGGCAATTAAGAGTCTTTACAGGAGTCTTTCCTTGTCTTTTGTTACTGCACCTGTCTGGAGGAAATTTCGAAACTAAGCCAACGGTTYGTTTGTACTTTAAGTTTCTTGAAGCACGTACGCCGGTAGACGTTAACAGCACCATGTGCTGGAATAACGAACGCGCATGTGCAAAACCTTGACCAAAGTGGTGAATGGTAAATCAGTGAAAGGTTTCTTTATAAGAGAATATCAAGCATTCTTGATTAAAAAAATCAAGATAGTGCAAGCATTTTATATGAGAATCAAAAACCCGTTCTAGAAAATGATTGATCAATTGGAGTAGTTTATCTTTTCGAAAAAATAAAAAAAAAGTAGCTGGCACTCTTGAAATCGATGTCCGCCATTAAAAAAACAGACATTTTGAATTTCAATTATTTTGCGTATTACATAAAGCGGGTAGTAACATTACTGTTTACATCGCCCACAAAAAGAGCTTTACAGGGAAAAAACCCGCATTTTTAACAGTTGTTACTATAATTTACTTAATTGGTTTGGGAAATCGAAATTTTTGAAGTTTCCTTTAAATTACAAAAAGAGAAAGCTTCGCCTAATCCACAACACGTACGCGTCAAATATTCTTTCCTTTTACTACACCTGAACAAACGAAAGAACAATTCCGGAGAAGTACTCAAAACTCAATCTGGATTTCTTTGGGGTTTGCGGAGTATTTCTCAGACTACATAGCAAACAATCTTAGCTATTTCACTAGGTTTCTCGTTAAGTTTTAAGATAAAATTCAGCGATAAAACTTTACTAAAAAACATAATATTACACGACATTTCGACGTTAAATGAACGTCATTATCGAGTTAGTTTTTTATCACTTGATAGTGACTGAATTTTATCTTAAAATGTTACAAGAAACCACTTCTTATCAAGATTTCTCGTTAAGCTAGACGATATACGTGCCAAAAACATTTGGCGCCTTTGACTTACATTTGGCATGATGGCTTTGTATGAGGGCGACGTCTCCAGCATGGTAGAAATCATATGCTGAGATACCAACGATGTCCTTGGCTAGATAATCCATAAACTTATGAATCCTAAAAAAGAAAAAGTCAAAGATATCGATGTTTTTGTTGTGGTTGTGTTGGTTTTTTTTAATACACCAGAACCAAAAAATAAAAAAAATTCGTGAAAAGTCTATTTGACAGATGGACCGTAATTTGCAGGCTAGCTACAATTATGCAGAACAGTAGATAACCACTAGTTTTGATCAACGTAAGCTTAGTTGATTACATTAGAGCTAACTAATAGATCTAATAAGAGCAGTTTTAGCATATGTGGGAAACATACGGTACTGACTTACAACACGCACAGGACACGACATTCCGTAGTGTGTGTTTTGATTAGTGGAAAACGTACAGTGCGTACACGGTACGACATCCTGTAGGCCGGTTTTCGTATGGCTGTGGGAAACATACGGTACTATGATGTAATGTCGTCTCATTCTACCCGATGGACTTACAACGCGTACACGGTACGACATGCTGTAACATTGAAATGGTTTCCCATCGTCTTCTTGTTACGGTCACGGTGTTTTGGTACGATACATTACGGCTTTAAAGTACGGCTACCAATTTGTTTTAACGGCTCCCACTCATACGAAAACCATAAGGGCTACGAATTAGGTGTGTCGTTTCCCACTCGTACACTTAAAAACTACTAAAAACTACTCTATTTGTCGTTGTCCGTATCGTAACATACCTTCCTTCACAATAAACGATTTTCAGGTCCATGTTAACACGACTGACAAACATATTGCATTCTAGTGGTAGTTCATTGATATTCATGGTTGGAACTGGCTGAGCTAACATCACAAACGCTTTTCTTGCAGTTTCTTGATCGTCTGACGCGTAGTCCTTAACGCGACCAACACAATGCACTACCTTAAGTCACAACAGAAAACAATGGTATATTACATGTCATATATTTGTTTGGTTTGGTTTGAAGCGCAGATTTCACGAGAAAATGGAAAATGTATCAGAAAATTCCTTCAAATGGCCAAGATTTTGGAAGTATTTTATGCAGGCATCTCCATAGCAACAAGATGTCTGATCCAAAAGCGCTTAAGAATTCCTTTTTAGAATCTTTTACACTTCTTCAGATATTTTGTCTAACTTAATTCCCATCAAGCTAGATATGCTAAAGATTGTTAAATAAGGAAAACTCAATCAAGATATCATAATTCATATGAAAAAATGTCAGTCTAAAACCGTTATTTTTATTAAGCCTTTTATTCATGCCGACAACTTTCAAATTTCAGCTTTCTTTCGTGCAATATGGTTGCTTGGTTTAAGTCTTTTGACAATACCGTGTCTAGGAATCCAAGCAATTCCAGACAATACATAATGTTTTGCTACAGAATCAAACAATACCCAAAGAAAATAATTTATGAACGTTATACCTCCCAAAACAATGCTATAGCAACAAATGCACAAAAACAAATTCATTTTCTTGCCTTAATAATCAAAGCTTTTTTCAAAAATGACAATACATAATAAAAGAAAGATCTTCTTTGTTCCTTTGGATTTTCGAAATTAGTTTCAAGACTTATGTTTGTTTTTTTTTCTTTTAAACAATGATAAGACGTTTCAGGTTCATGGAACCATATTTGAACAAATGTGTTTTCAACATTAGTTTCAAGGCTTTGTTAAGGCGATTTAAGTTCGTGAATCCATAATTAAACAAATGTACCAATAAAGCAAAACCAGTTTTAGACGTTCTAGACTCAGTGTTGTAAATGTTCTCAAAGTGAACTTACTTTAAAGCCTGATGATTTTGCATAAGATCCTCCTCGTCTAACAAGAGTGCATTTCATTCTCAAGAAGAATGCTCTAGGCTGATGAATGGGAAGAGTTCCTGGTCCAATGGCATCCCCTGTGTTGGAAAATAATCGAACAAATTGCTTCATTTTCCAATTCCTCATTCAATTCCAACAGAATAAAARAGAGAAAAAAGAGAACTCTATATGGGAATAAAATAAATGAATATAAATCGTTCTTGTTTTACAAGGGTGGCAGTTGATAGCCAAACTAAAACAGAATAAAAATGGGCAAAGAGAGAACTCAATATGAAAATAAAATAAGTGAATGTAAATCATTCTTGTTTCAAGAGGTTAGCTTGTGGCTAACAAACCTGTGGCAATTGTTCCATGGTAAAATTGGAATTTTAAAAGTTGATTATTGCCGAGAAAGGAAAACTGAGGAGCCCACAGAAAAACACTGAAAGAAGAGGGCAACAATCAAGCACTGATAAACTTGTGGCCCTCGACAGACTGCCATATTTCACATGGTCATTGAAGACGTAATAAATATTTAACTATTTACAGATATTTTAAAAATTAATGCAGCATTCAATTACTCTTAGCAATGATTTAAATATGGGTGTGAAGACAACTGTCTAATAATCTCTACCTTGACTGAATAAGCCACTACCACTACTGTTTTGACAAGAAAAGAAATCTTGACTGGTTTGGAAAGGAGGATCACTTGGCTGCGTAGCGGAAGCTTGTTTCAGTTGGTCATTAAGGTCACCATGATCTTCAACATGCACATAGTTGTATATGTTGCCACCAGTAAGTTCAACCTACACGAATAATACACACATTATAAAAGAAATAATTAATCTAGTCCATGAGCTTTGAGTAATGAACAAAGAGCAACAAAGAGCGTAAGAGACCATGGAGAAGAGGTTAAGGTTATTTGAAACATGGCTGATTAGGCAAGTCATAGCATATTTTATAACACATTTAAATTTTGAAATTAAAATATAAATGTAAAGTCTCCATGTTCCAACCTTATGACCTGTGTACTGTTTGTACAAGGTGGTTGTAAATCATTTTTTTTACAATCGGAAATCAAGCATTGAATTCAAATCTTATTGCCAATCAATTGGCAGTGAAAAACCAAATTTCAAAATGCAGCTTGCAGCTACCGAATTCACAGAATATGGAAACCGCAGTAAACCAAAGTTTTCTTAACTTTGCTCTTGGATAGACAATGTCATAATAGAGCAATGATCTTACAACTGGAAAAATTAATGGATGCATGCATGGAACACGTAGGCGACATCAATGCTATTTTGCATACCTGTGAAAGACCTAGATTTATGGAGACAGTCTCTGACACATACAGTATCTTGCCATCTTCTGCAAGAACTAGAAGGAAGCCCTCAAGAGCCTACACAAGAAAAACATTAAGTTACAAGAATCTAAAACTAGACATTTATGACAACTTTATTCAAAATATAGTCACTCTGATGTTTCTCTAACCCAGACAACAACAGATAAAGTACATTTACTGAAGTCTTCTCTTCGATCAATTAAATGCCCAACGGTCTTTGTTTTTATATTTTTGATTGTTAAAAGCTTGCCAAAATCCTTACCACTCTTTTCACTGCTACGTACTGATAAATACAACAGTCGCAACAGGGAAATAGGGCATTACACTGCCGCCAATCAGAGAATATGAAGGTACCAACCAATTTATTTGATTGACCAAAGTGTATTGCCCAATTTCACTGTTGTGACTGTTGTCTTGAACAGCGCGTAGCACAGAAAAGAGAGGTAAGTCTAGAATTTCTGAGGCTGCATAAACTTGAAGACAGGTCAAGGTTTGAATCCAGAACCATCCTTCTAAAGTTAAGTAAGTTTTAATTACATGTAAAAGTTGTGCTCCTGTCTCATCATTTAGAGGAATTCCTTCAGGACCTTCACTTTTCTTGAAAGCAACAACTGCAAAAAGAAAAAGAAGAAAAAAATTGAATAAACGACAACATGGAGGGGAAGCCTAATAATGTTGAAAGTATTAATGAATGGTGGAAAAACAATCTGAAGAAAATGCAACATGGTTACAGCACTTCCCAATCAGAGGCATGGAATCAAACAATTTTATGTCTAAACAAAATGAGGTTTTGGTGGATGTCAATTTAAGTGTTTCCATGACATTGTTGGGAAATTAGTGTTTTCAAGAGCACGTGACTATGGAAAGTTGTGAAAACGCTTTAATCGATTTTCATCAAAACCATCATCAAAAGTTTGTCAAAACGGGGGAAAAAATGCTACATCMTTCCAGACCGTGTCATTGAATCCCTTTAGTATTATCTCTTTTGCTTATTTACTAACACTGTCTTCTTTCTAAGGTTATTTTGTTTATTGAGCACTTTTTATTCAACATTACAATTTTACATTGATATCATTCATTCATTCCTATGACCTTTTTTATTAATGATATGATAGGCATATATATTAATAGTATCTGTAAATAAATTGAATAACAAGTGTAGGACAGATCTTAGACCTCAGCAAACCCCGGCCTTTTTAACAGCTTGTTGTGAAATTGGTTTTTGCTGTAGCCAGCCAAGAATATAAAAGGTTACTGATTCTTTATTGAAGGTAGCAAAAACAAAAAACAAATTTCAGTGAGCAGCTTGCAAATACCAAGTTTACAGAATATTGCAAAAACCACAGTAATACTAAATCAAATATATTGAACAAGAAATTTCAAAATACTTGAATCTTACTTTCAGTACTTGGACCTGGAGTTGGTGACCCGGGTGGGACAGCATCTAAGATGGCAGAAAATATTTCATGAGAATAGAAAATATCTAAACCAGTATAAAAAATCCGCATTATCATTGTTATGATCATTGTTTTCATTATTGTCTTGCACTATCCAGAATAAGGATGCAGCTACATACTAACAAATATTGGACTGATCTAAGTCAAGGCAGGGCTAACTCACAGATCATATTCAAATTTTGAATATGTTAGGCTTTGCAGAGATAAAACCAGATAAAAACCATCCAAGAAAGAGAGAAAGCTTGTGACCATACTTAAATGAAGAGTTCAGAAATTGAAACTACTCACGAGAGACCCCAGCAGTACATTAAGAAGGAAGCATCGGATTCCAAGTATCAATAAGAATTTTAACATTTATACCACTATACCTGCTGCAGTTTCAGAAAGTGGTGAAACACAAGTTTCTGATCCATCTGTTATCTGTCTTTGTGGAACTACAAGCACAAAATAAATATAGAATTATGTAAACAAGTTAAATTATTATCTGATAAGAACTTATCTTTGTAAACTTGTGGATACTTATGTGTGGTATAACGTAGTTATGATGATTAATTAATATATGAGGACAGACCAGTGAGATACAGTCAATGTCATTAACATTGTCCACCGAAAAAAGACATTTACACATTTAGACTAAAAGAAATATCACATGTTTCCTCAAAGGTTCTGGCATAAAACAAATCCTGAAATACCATTCTCCATCTTAAATCCCCACTAAATGGTTGGGGCATTCTGGATTTTCGATTCACGAGTTGAATTTTACATTTAAAGTTCACGCTAACACACACGAGGCAAAGAATACATAATGAAACACGGGATATTTCTTTTAGTCTAAATGTCTAAAATTGTAAATGTGTAAATGCCTTTTTTCGGTGGACAACATTAATGACATTGACTGTATGTTTCTCAGTCTGAAACCATTTTAGCATTACATAGGAAAAAGTCAGAACCTCTTTGACTTCTGACTTTTTTGTAGTTAAGTTTGTTTGCATCGTTTTGAACAGCACTTCAAATTGCTTAACACCAGAAAAATATGGTCTTGTGGTCTTGTGTAAACAGGATCAAGAAACTATTATTAATAATAATAATAGTAATTATACAGCTTCTCATTATTCCCATATAGGTAACTGTCCAATTATGTTCTTAATTGGACAGGTCTTATTGATATGGGATTAATTAGGYAGCTATATAATTAATAGGTAATGGGATTTTATGCTCCCCAATCAAGAAATAATTAGACTTGAAAAATTCCTCTGACTGCCAAATTGGACTCAGCCTACGGCTTTATCCAATTTTGTCAGTCCTCAGAATTTTCCTCGTCCAATTATTTCTTAATTGGACAGCATGGAGTCCTATTACATACACTAATATTTTTAAGCTTGCGCATGTTTTTACAGGAAAAAACATATTCCTCCCCCTCCCTCTTCCCTTCCCTACATTTCTCTTTCTGCCTTTTTCTTAAACATATAAGCTTGTCATTAGCTACAATACTATCATTACTACTATTATCCTCATGATTATTAAACTTGAAAACTTAAATGTTTATTATGAATGCTTCTGCTTACCAAGGCCAGAAAATTCCCTCATGCTCAAGTAACTAATGGTAAGCCGTATGATTGAAGCTTTGTCCAGCTGAGATGTAATTGCTGCAGGAAGTGGTAAGAGCTTGGCCAGTTCATCGAACTGAGCATTTTCTTTTCCCCTCCTGTTTCTGGCGGCATTTCTGGACCTCTCCTTGCGCATTTCAACAACCCTGAAGGATAAATACCAAGCAAACAACACATCTTAACTAAAATATTATCGAAATAGCATCTGACAATGGAAGTAGAAATAGTTAGTGCAAGTAAAAAAAAACCTTCAGTACACTTTCTGATGATTACAAAAACAAGTGATCTGGATAGGCATTATATAAATAATCATTATTACCGGTATTATTACTATTATTATTATCATTATTGTTAATAAAATGCCTAAAAGACTAAAAGAGTGATTATTTTACTCCAAGGTTCGAAAATTAAAACAATCTTGAAGGGCATGGTATTAATACGAAACAGCGGGGGCACAGACACTTGCCATAGCTGCACAACAAACATCACGATATGTATGTCTAGTTAAACCAGACAAACTCGAAAATCAAAACGAAAACCAACGAATTGTTCAATGCTTCAGTTATAACAAAGAATGAATAGAAAGGCTTTTAGCGATTGGCAAATACAATTAATTTAAGGAGATCTAAGGAATGTTCGAGGGATTTTTCACCCAAGCTAGCGCTATCCCAGGTTTTTCGATCAACAACAATCGCCATCTTAAATTGTAAGCTTAAATGTGTTTTTTTAAATAAGGGATTTAAACATGACTTGATATGAAGGGGGAAAACGAAGATACAAAATGTTGAATTCTCAACACGGACTAGTAGTTGCGGTGTATATTAATGTTCTAACTGTTGAATATGTGCTAAAAGAGCAAAACTAAAAACCGGAATCGTTGAGTAAATAGCCTTGTCGATTCCGATTGATTTCGACAAGTTGAACAAACACAACATGGATCCATTTGTTCTTTTTTATCTCTCCGGACAATCTATGTTTTTTCTGCCTTGTGAAGTTTTTCTTTCAAAATCGTAACTGTAACACTACACAGATGACTTCGCTTGAACATCGATGCTTACATCATAACAAAAAGTCCCGAACGAAAAACCATTTAAATGTACTTTGTTCAATTACGATGTACTAAAAATGTAATATAGAAAAAAGTGAACCTGCATATTTAACAAGGTAAAATAAACAGATTATTCCTTAACTTGCGAAGAAATTCTTAAGAATCTTTCAGCCGTGGTTCATGGCTTGGTTGCCGTAATTAATATTGGTCGCATAAACCTGTGATCGAAATGAAAGCTCCGCAAATCGTAAGCGAGAACGCATATTGTCGATCTAGCTGGTAAATCTTCTTATTCTTCGGTTTAAACATTTAAAATCATCGTAGATCACTCGAATGTAAATCCTTAATACTGCGTTTGTTGATCTTATACAAAAAAAATGCAATACTTGGTAAAAACGTGGTCACTTGAGAGCAGAGCGACATACAAGTATGGCATGGAGAGATACAGACAGCCACGGTTTGTTTTCGTCTTGCTGCGAACACTTAAAAAACAAAAATTATAGGAAAGAATCTCTTCAGAATACACAGCTTGCAACTTACAGGCTTTGGGTTTTCGCAAGAAAAAGTTTTACAGCATGACAGTTGTGCAGTGACTTAAAAAACAAGGGTTGTTTATCGTTACATCACGAGTACCAGCCTTACCTGACATTATCAGTACTTTTGGTCCTGAAACAAAACAAAAATGAAAAATCAATCAAAAACAAGAGTTAAGAATTATTAAATAAACAAGCTATGTCTTCTGGGACGCCAGCTATTTGAGAAAACGACAGTTCGGAAGATCAATACATGCTTGTCTATCGCTCACAACAAGCGGGTTCCGACGTATTTCACATATAGTTCTCACCGAGGCTTGTGTTCTTGCCGTTTATCAGTCGGCATCGTACGAGCCGATGTCTTCTAAAAAACTACAGCACGAACGAAAAGGGCTGCCGCATGCCCTAATGATGGAATCATTTAGCGTAGTAGCTCGGACAGCAGTGAAATCCTTTAAAAATCAAAGCAATTTGGATGGCATATTCAAAATGGCGATTGTTTATCCGTTCGGCGAACTGACGGCTGTGTGCCCACTAAAACCTAGCTAAACCTGATTGGACGAGACAGCCGTATATAAGCACGTGACATTGTACCAGACTTGGAAATAGACATCTCGACAATTTAGTACAAAATGTTCGGAAGTTATGACCCACAAAATCACGAAACGTACGGAATGTAGAGTAGAAATCATTTGGCCCACTAAATTTAGTAACTAAGTTTATATTATAAGTATTCACTTTAGATACAAACGGATACAAACATTTATTTTGCAAAATTCAAGGTATAAAAGTTCTTTCAGACGAAACGTCTGAGAGCACTAAAAACTAATAGATTATACAGTTGATATAGCCATTTCAAAAAAGGTTGGTAAAGGTTTTGCTGCATGTTATATGTTGCTGACCTAGACTGTTAACGCTAGTAATTAACTGTCCCCCTTTTCCGCCCAACTTAGTCCAGTTTTTTCCCCACCTTGGATTCCTTGGACTTACGCGCGGAGGCAGCGAGTGCTAGTGATGACTTGGTTTCAAATTTATTCAAATGTCATGTAACAAAACATTTGCATGCTGCAGCACTGAAATGGTTGCCCCATCATTTTTGCATAACTCATGCAATTAATTAAACATGCAGATATTTTTAAAGTAACATATATCACTCTCTACATCTATTTTCCTTATAAACGTAAAATCTCATCTTTTTTTCTATTGGAGATGGCTTTTGAATGGCTGCCTCAAACTTATCCTAAGCCCACAAAGAATCATTACAAACAAGTAAGTTTTTTTTAAATATCTACAAATGCATTTCTTAGCTTAAAGAGTGGTTTTTATAAACCTAATACAATTTAGTAGCCCCTAATTCCATTGTGTTCTTTTGTTGTCTTTTTACTTTCACACACTAACTAATGGTATTTGTTTCATGGCTYTATTATATCTTTAACAAACTCCATACAGTTACTGCACACTATTATTCGATCGACACTAAAATTGAGCTTGGGATACCTGTAAGCTTAGCAATCAGTATGTTGACACTAAAACAAGAGGTCAATAGTTTGTTTTACCACTAATGTAAATTTTCTTGCTTTCTGATTGGTCAAGGGCCATGGAAAATAGGATTAAATGGCAACAAATTATGTCAGCAAAATATGAAACACTTGCACACGGAGCCAGCGAGTGGTTGAAACAGTTTTTTCTTTCAAATATTTTCCATGTTTTTGTAGCACCAAYATATGACATCGCCAACTGATAAACAGTTGTTACATAACTTATTTTTTCGACCAACTGAAATTTGTTGAAATACCTTGTGACTTCAGACACTTACATGTACAACTTTTAACTTCTATCCAATCCATACATAGTTAAAGCTAGAGCACTATAGAAGAGAATGGAAAGGGAATGCTGCTGCAACTTAAAAGAAACTACTTATTGATGCGCTGCATGGCGGTTTAAAAAATACACACGTTTTACTCATTGTTTATGTTGTTTACGTTTTATTTGATTGCATTAGAGTTCCTATCAAAAAAAGAAATATTACAATTTAACGATAAAACAGAAAATGATCAAACAAAAGGAAAGCAAAAGAAATAGGAATAATCACTTACAAAACATATGTGTAGTTTAAGACGGTCAACGATGAACTGAATTGAACCTAACTGAACTGAACTGAACTTAGTATAAATTATGTACACATATTTAAGGTCTGAATGCGCACGGGAAAAATGTGTTTATTCCAATCTAGCACTAGTTAACACTACCAGTGCAAAACATGGTCTTGTCTGATTTTTTCCATGAAAGTTTGATGCAAAAAAGTACACTTTTAGTTCCAGTGGCAGATATGGGAGAGGTCACAGGCTGTCTGTGCAAAGATCCTAAATCTGACCATGAAACGTTCAAAAATGATGGCTTAATCACAGAAAACCAGAGAGCCCAGAAAAAAGCTATCAATTCAAGGAAGAGACCAAACACTCTCTTCACATCTAATGGGGATCTAAGTCCCCTGTGATGAGAGGTGAGTGTACTACCACTAAAGTCACCCTCGATTCCCCTAAATAACTATTCCACAAATTTACATACAGTAACTACAGTGATGTATAACAAATATGGCACCTAATAGACCTCTCTGGCTTGGGGTAATGTTTTCCCATTTCAGACCACGTGTCATTCCCTTGAGAATAAGATTCTTTGTTTGAGCTGTATCCATATTCATGTGTCTTCTTATGTGCAACCGAGTGCAGAACCTTAAACAAAGAAATGATACTCTAGGGAATGACACGTGGTCTGAAATGGGAAAACATTACGTCAGAGCTGAAGAGGTCTATTGCCAACGAAGTTGGCAAACATAGAGGAGTGCCTCATTTCTTTTGTTCTAAACTTGTTTTCACAGATTACACTCCATCAAAAGGTTGAGAGGGCATTGTTTTGGTACTGGTTTTGAAAAACCTGTTTTCGTGTAAATGTATCTTCAAACGATTACGAAGTTGGTCTCATTTTTGAGGCCCATGGTATGTGGCATGACAAATTTGCTGTTGCACAAACTTTTATAGAAAAAATCTAGAAGATCAATTAACTTTGAATGCATTTCCTCACTTTTAAAACACTCCCTTTTAAACTTTATTACTTCGTTGGCAAAATCTGATTCCCTTTTTTAAGAACATATACAAACACTAGGTCTCAATTTACTTTACTGATAAGTACTGTATGACTAGTATTGATTATTATACAATGTACTCACTATCTGAATTTTCATCAGCGTGCGCCAGTGATAGGCAGTTATCTGCAAAATTGATCCTGCATTTAGGTCAGCAGAAAGTGGTTATCTGTAGGTTGTTTTTTTAATGCATTATTTTGAGACCTTTTTGAAAAATAAAGTTTACCATAAAGTTTCTATCTTTGTATTATCAGTTGACCAGCTTGAGCAATATATAATAATATCATTATTAAATTTGGTTTTGATGATATCCAAAATTATCAATGTCTCGGCTCAAAACCTGATCCAATAATTGTTTATGATATAACAAAGACAAAAGCCAGCATTAATTTTGCCAATCTTAAGTTTTGAATCCTAGGTTTTTTAAAAGCCAAAAAACCTATGCTACTCTGGTAGAGTTATTTATATATTAGAGATATTTATATTTGAAGTAATGTTAGAAAGTGTCATGTCCATCAATGACTTGATTATTGAATACATTAAGTTATCCCTACTTGAAATGTGAGAAAAACACTGCAAGCCTACTAAATGCTATGGTTTTATTCCTTAATTACATCGACTTTGAAACAATAGACTGCTATGATTCCAAAATGTTTTTTCAAAGTGCTTATTATTATTCCTTTGGATGCTAATTCTTATTAAAATTATGGTATCTATTATGTTTTGTCTAGATGCTTAAGGGTTTGAAAACTCAAATTGTGCCTTTTAAAAATATCTAAGTAATTTGATTAATTGAGCATCATATAAAGTTTTGTATTTATTTTCTTCCTATTTTCTTATTGTCCTCAATTTAGTACTATTGAGAATATCTTGTGGTAAAGACATAATGTTTATTATGAGCTTTTACAGTTTACAGTCACAACATGAACAGCTGCAAACATCAATGACACTCATCTGGTTATTGAATTACTTAGCATGTCATAGGTTAAGGTAAGGGGATTTGAGAAGTCTCTTAACTAACCAGTATTTGGGGGACATTAAAGAATCTATTGGACTGCCATCACGTAAGAGTAGGGGATTCCTTATCTCCCAGTTTAACATCATATTGCTGTTGAAGGCATAAACAAACTTATTACTAATCACTTCTCATGATCGTAAGTCGTAAAGTCCTTTGCTGAAAATTGATTGTAAATAATAATAGTATTATAAACTATAATTACTATTTTAAATAATAGTAATAATTATGAGCCCACTGAGGAGCATGCATATATAAGAATATTGTTGTTGTATCTTGGAGATATCAAGGTTTAACTCCCAAAATGTTAAGAAGATATAACTAGCTAAAAACTAGTGTGAGCTGCGTTGTTTCTAATGAATCTAAAGTAATGATGAAAAGGTAAATTATACACCGTGAAAAGATGACGTTTCGGACGTTTCGGATGCTAGTCCTTCGTCGGAGTAAGAGAGAAAGAAGTAGTAGAAAGGAGTGTATATATGATAGAATAAGACAAAAGAAACCAATGAGAGCAAGGTAGGCAAGGAAACAAAAACAAACAATCAAAAGACAAAACTAAAGGTTAGTTGAAAGTAAACTAAAACTCTCTCAATGGTAGTTGAGGAGCATTTTGCTTATGAAATATTGGTGTGAAATTGTGTTTTTGATGTTGTTCCTCCTGAAACACATTTTCAAACTACATAAAATTTCAATTCTCTTCTTTCGCATAGCGCATAATGCTTTGCTTCATGTGGGGTAACCAATCAAAAAACTGTCCCAAATTGAAACTTTCCTCAATTTGAATATTATACTATACGACATGCTTTTATCTATACAATCAGTTTATTCATCAAACATCAAGAAATTCGGCATTACAGAAAATGCATCAACTCACAAAAAAAATTTTTAATTTACTTTAAACTTCTTCAAGCTTTTACTTTTTCTGTTTTTTACTACTTCAATGTATACTATGGATATCAAAGGAGGTATTTTCAACATTGTCTGATCAGCCTTCAGCAAAATAAGTGCAGTTTTTTTCCTCTGATTACCCCCCATAGCTGCAAAGTATTATGGGTATGGGAAAATAGAGAATGGTTAACTTGTTAAACCTGATGGTGTTGCATCCCACTAACTCTCAGCTTGGGCTACCTGTGAATTAACAGTCTGTATATACATGCAATTTCTCACATTTCTGTGTGGCTAATTAATATTTATGTTAAAACCACCTTGAATAGGTTGCATGTCATAAATCTCATTACGTGCTCTAAATAGGTGTCAAACACTGACCACCATGTGCTGTCAACCAGAAAGAATACTATTAAAAAATTGTGATTCAGCTGATGAATATTCCCCACGAGACAGGAAATGATGTCAAGTGAAATCAAGCAATTACCACATTATAAATTTATGTAAATTATTTCTTATAACTTAAAATCAATTATTTTTTGTGAGCTTTCTTGACAGATAACCAAAATAATTCCATCAATAAATCTCACTATTGACTTTGATAGCATTTAAAAGCCTACATAGGAATTAAGTTATATAGGACCTACATTTTATAAACAACACAAATAATAACAATATCTAAGTATGTCCTTTTTCTAAATCATAATAAGATTTAGAGGATTAAGCAAGTCTGTAGAAAAGGTATATTCTATTATACGCCATTCAAACATGATTTCCAATCTGATTGAAATCATAGGAGATACACTATATGTAGATTCCGTATATTGCAAAACTATCCTCCCTCGTTCCTCCCCCTGATCGATTGTAGATGACAAGTATTGATAAAATGCGTCCACTAATTTATCTAAATAAACTCAGTCTGTCGATGTCCTAAAAAAATATTAAACATAGACATCTTTTTTTCTTTAGATACACTTAAGATTTATAAAGAATTAAAATTCGAATTTGGATAGTAGATCTTATAATGAAGCTTATATGAGCTTACATGAGCTAACCTTATATATCAGTTCATAAAAAAGTTCGTGCTAAAGTGTTTCAATCGTAATTGTTCAAAAAAAGTTAATCGTTATAAACTATTAGTGAATCTAATTCTCAAGAAAATCCAAAGAGCCGAAAGTGTAAAGTATGTATTTACAATATAAACGTAGAAGACAAGAGATTATTAGTCGCACGACCTGGGGTCCAAGTCCRGACATCGATCGGATAAGGCCTAATTCCAAGTCTTCATGCATAAACAAGTAAGTAAGGTACGAATATAAAGGCAGACTACGATCACGAAGCTTACTTACAGAAGAAGTGATTTGCTTACTGGAAGACTACTTTAGAATCGGATGTAAAAGGAACGCAACAACCTTCCTGACTGACCCATAGATGATGTTATTACAAGGATAATCACCAACTGCTTTGTGGTCCATAAACTGTGTATCAATATGATCGATTTTACCAATGCCAAGTTGACGATTGCTTTACAGGATTAGCAAATATGAAACTGCATCGACAGTAAACGATCTTAACAAACTAAAAAGTATGTTTCAAACCTTCCAGCCTTCCTCTTTGTCGAGTGCTTCGTCTCCGGTTGCAAGTCGTGGACGTGGTCGTAGAACGGGTCTTCTTCATCCATTTTCGCCTTCGTTAACCAAAGATCAGGGTTATTCACATTAAGAATATATTCTCCGAATAAAAAGGTTCAAATCTAGGTCAGATTTCGTGGATATCCTCTTTAAAAGCTTTCAAAAACTCCCTTTCCAATCATTGTGCGCTAACTCCTCCAACTCCAAAACACGACAAGCACCATCATCGTATTAGAGTTCAATCGATAACTCTCCGGATAATATTCGCCTAATATTCGATCGCCGAGCAGTATGCGAGAAGAAGCGGGCAGGTGAATGCGCGTCTGGGACGTGACGCCGGTGACGTATCCTATCTGCGTCCAAAAGTGCGTTAAAAATATATATAATTTCTTATTTTATCTTTACAAACCTAGTAATATCGCTTCCAGACAAAATTTAATAAAGAATAAAAACATATAAAAACATACCGCGTCTGTACGAAACCTATTAGATTGCCGTAGACATACTGGAAAAAGCAAAAACTTAAAACAATTGACGCAAAAATAATCTTCAGTGGGTGTTTTAAACAAACGGACAAAAGCACGGCGGAAACGATGGTAACAGTTAGAGATCCTTTTCTTAATAATAGTTTATTTAGATTTCGATCTAAACATGTCTAAAGAAATCTTCCCTTCCCCGCTTTTCATTCAATCCATTTCAATAATTCTATAAGTTTCACTTGAGACAGAAGGGTTTGGTATGTTTAGGCTAGTGTTTAGCGTCATCAGGAGAAGTGCCCCATACAGGACCCATACGATGATCGTTAAAGAGGCCTTTCTTTCTCTCTTTTTCGCATTAGATGCTTTAAGCCTTCCAAATTAAGTTAACTTTTTTATGGACGAGATTTTTGATGAACGAAATGTTATTAAATTTTGTCTAGGGCTTGATTATTGAATGAACAACATGTGTGACTTTGGCGTCACTTTAGCACGAATGTTTTCTTAATTAGGTTTTCAAGGGCGACTGAACTGCTTAAATAATCGGCAGAGCCTATTGATGAAATGTGTAGGTAGCCACTGCCATGCGTAGGCAGTTGGGCCCGTGTATACATTTATTTGAGGGGGGCTGGGCTGGTGCAGATGGGGAGAGGTCATAGCTTTTTGTGCCGTTCAAAAGAGGGGGATGTCAAAAACTATGCAAGCATTTTTTGGGAGTCATGTGTTTTTGTCCAGTTCATTTCCCTATCACTGACGTACATTCCTTTTTAAAGAGAAATTGATCTGAACAAGCTGAGGTCGAATTTATTATTAAAATGAGATATTCTAAAATCACCTGTAACATTCTATATAATGAATCGCTGATGCAGGCCCTGAAGTTGGCGAAAGTACTATAACTTTAATTGAGATTCTATTGAGCGGTAGAGATTATGTTGACATTTTCAAGGATAGATACAGTTATTTGAGCGTGTCAATCGAGTTCGAGTTCTCTTTTCTCAGCCTTATTACTCTCGGTTGTGCGTTATAATATTCTCAGCGCGCAATTTTCATACCGTTCCATCATCTCAACAAGGCTGATCTCCAAGTTTTAGTTCTCTCAGCCTTATTCTGCGCTGAGCCTCCTGAAACCCCTTTCGAATTTGCGCGTTTCAACTCAGTCTTAACCTCCGATTGGTCCTCCGATTGTGTACAAATATGTTCTTTTCTTTTATTAAGGTCCATTGTATAGTAARGAATGTRCGTACTACGGAACTATACGAGTTGATTAAAATGCCACGGGTCTTGGTTGAATTTCAAGCGTTTTGATGGCCTTACAGATGTGAAGAGCTCACGGCAACAGAAGTATAAAGAGAAAGAGGCCATCTGTATGGAAAAGAATGCTGGCAAGTGGCTAGAGAGGTGACAGTATTTGTTGATGATGAATCAGGTCAGTTGCTGAAGACTAAATAAAGTTTACGCATTTACTGAAAGTCAAACTTTAGTTCTTTTTCAACGGACCATGCATTCCTTATTAGCATACATTTGCTAAAACAGATGCTGCAAAACTTCATGGAATCCACTATTTAAGAACTTATTACATATTCATTTATAGATATCCACTTACTCATCAGTAAGATGTTTCTTGAATTTTTCCAAAGATCTTACGCTCAAAGAAACTGAACTAAGTGGAAATATCTTTACCTCTCCCCACGGAAATAATGCAGGAAAAAAAAGAAACAAACAAACAAACAAACAAAAACCAGCTAGTGCAATGGTGTCTCACTTCGCTATTGTTCTCAATTAAAGCTTTCACACATCCAACGCTTAGCTTTCTCGCAACTTATGTTTTCTCGACCGAACAACACCTAACAATAGCTTGATTCTTTTTCGGGATTACTAAAAGTTACGGTGCTCTATGTAACTGGTTTTCATTAAGGTTTTATCCATTTGAATTTTTGGCTGCCAATTTTACCAGAAAAAATAGTCTAGGTTCAGTATCGTCTAGGTTATTATAGATAGCAGGTGATGCACCTAGGACGAAACAGTTATTGCAATATTGATGCATGAACGTGACCAAGAACGAATTTTATTTAAATCGGATCGGTTAACTTCACCAAGACAAAGATCAAAATCAATTAAATAAGAATTCAGGTCTGACTGGGAAACGCTTGTTATAATTGATAACGAGAAAAACCTCTAATGCATGACCGAACACGTACACGACCCAAATGAAGGTCCTGAGGAGTAAAATGAGAATAGGGATTCGCCTCTTTGGGGCTGGGAAAATGGGATTTTATGCCCTGGGAATGGGATTCACAAACAAAGAAAAAGAAAGCAGTCAAAAAAAGGGAAAGGGGATTAGGACCCCCTAGGGTCGTTTTAGGGACGTTAGATATTTGAGTGCGTAGGAAGTTGCGTAAATCTCAAAGAAATGTCGAGCAAGCACTTCACCTATATCTCTCTGCTTCCAGAAAAAAAAAACCTATAACAAATGGCGGGCAGGCTCGTCACAAAAAAATAAATATCGTGCAACATAAATTCCTGCTAACCCCCTGCACCTCAATTATTTAATGGTCCATCCCTTCACTCKCGGCGAAATGGGACCACTTGGTAAAGGCGCTGCATCCAACAATGCGATAGACCTGTTTTTCGATACCAAGTTCTCTTCCCCGAAATGTTTTAGGAATTTTTTTACGGCCACGCCTTTAAAACTCTGATTGGGCTGCCTTTGGTTTTATTAATTTGGCTTCCTCGGGTCCCGATAGTCTCCTTATGACGCAGGCGCTATTGGTGTTGTCAAGCGTTGCGTGACGAAACTAATAGCGGCTGCGTAGGAGACTAGTCCAGTGACTAAGATGGCGGAAAAGTTGAGTATAGTTGTCATTCTTAGTCTTTGTGTTTACCTCTCTTTTCCTTACAAAACAGATTCGAGATCCTTCACAATTGATTATGAGAATAACATCTTCCTCAAAGATGGTCAACCATTTCGTTATGTCTCTGGGAGTGTGCATTATTCTCGTGTTCCACGTTTTTATTGGAAGGACCGGCTTCAGAAAATGAAGTATGCTGGATTGAACGCCATACAAACGTAAGAGAACTTTTTCTGCTGGAAAAATTGTATGAACTAAACCAGATTTATGAATAACAGCAGCGCTCTCATTAAATTGTTTAAAAGTTTTCGAAGTCTTTGGGTCTCTCATAAGCCTAATGTTCAACATGGACAGTTAAATTATATAATATAGAGCTTCATCATAAAAGTTAAATGTAATTACTTTAATAAGCTTAATGAGAGGCCAAAAGAATTCTTTTGTAGAAAAGAGTGTTTACAAGTGTTTTATGTTTACATAAATTACTCAAGGAAATCTAAATAAACTGGACAAAATCAATAACAAGCAGGTATTGGAATTCTTAATTTTTTTTTTGAAAAAAAACTTTAAGTCATTTTAAAGAACACTTTTGAATAGAATGAAATATGACACATTATTTATAGTAATTTATATACGTCAATCAAATGTCTAGTGGAAGTGGGCGTCTGTCACAGATATAGAACTCAAAACTACTGTCCCAAGTCAGTATAAAAAAGCCGGCCATATATCACACCAACGACAAGAAGATGAAAGGTCAAGATTCACTAACAAGTCATAATTTTAGAAGAAGAATGATCAGCTTGATTCTACTGATGAATCTAGTATTTCCAATATTAGCAACTTGTAGAGGAAAACATCAATCAAGATCTTTCACTATTGATTATAAAAATGATGTATTCCTCAAAGATGGCAAGCCTTTTAGATATGTGTCAGGAACTATTGCTTATTATAGGATACCTAGAATGTATTGGATGGATAGATTAATGAAAATGAAATTTGTTGGACTCAATGCAATTGATACGTAAGTTTTCATCCTCTTTTCTCTGTAGCCTTTTGTATTGTTTTTATGGAATTTTTTCAATGGGGGATTTAGAGGTGACTTACTAGATTGCTTTGTTAGTTAAGTAACACTGTAATAGACCATTCACAGGATATCATAATATGGCTGTTAAGTTACTGGATGGCAAAAACAATTTGGGCGTTCTTTAAAAAACCTTTTGCTGGATCGCTTCTAATATGATATAAAAAAACTTTTCAAAATAATTTTTCCCCTTATAAGATACTTTTTATTTCAAGATGTGAAGCAATTAATAGTTTGTTTGCTGTGGCTGTGGACTTTTCCCCAAGGGACCTTTGGCTAAATTGATTCATTATCAAAGTGATATATCAGCTGGTGACTGTTGGATACAAATGGCCTTTCATAAGGAATAGCCTGCTTGAGATATATTATTAGTTGTTGAAATTCCAATTTCCTTTTCTTCTATTCAAAGTCATCCCTCACTTCCCCTCCACTTCCCTCTACTCATCTCTCTTCTCCTAGCTCTCCTCTCTTCTCCCATTTCTTCCTAAGTACTCCTCTACTCCTTTTCACTTACCATTCCCCTCAACTCTCCTCCACTTGCCTCTGATCCCTCTTTCCTTTCCTGTTCCCTTGCTTCCCACTTTACTCCACTTCCATCCTTGTCCTCCCTTCCCTTCCTTTCCACTCTACTTTCCTGTCATCCTCTCCTGTTGTCATCACCCCTCTGCATTTCTTTTCTCAAGCAACTTATCAATATTAAACATATGAGCTTTGAAGATATTTTTTATCTATTAACACAGGTATATTCCATGGAACGTCCATGAAGCAGAAGAAGGAAAATTCAATTTTGAAGGGGAAAATGACCTAGTGGAATTCATCAAGATGGCTGATTCTATTGGTCTTCTTGTCATCTTAAGACCAGGGCCTTATATCTGTGCGGAATGGGATTTTGTAAGTTTAACAAATGTATTATTACTGTATTTCTATTGACATTTAAGAACTGTGTTATGGAAAGCAGCATGCCACCTCAAATTTAACCCACGCACACACACACACACCCCCATAAATGGAAAACACCAGATGAAATTCGACTGAATATTTATGTGTTTATTTTCACACAAAAAGGGTGGCTTTCCTTCTTGGCTTCTTAAGAATCCTGCAATCCTTCTGAGATCATCCAAAGATAAAAGTAAGTAATTACAGTGACACAGGGAACCCACTTGCTTATGATCAAGCTATCTACCACTCTGTAATGTCTATCTTTTGGTACTTTTCAGGATATATTGATGCTGTTGATAAATACATGGATGTTCTTCTTCCATTGATCCAACCACTTCTCTACCATAATGGAGGCCCTGTCATTTCTGTCCAGGTAATGATGGTGATGATGATGGTGATGATGTTGATGATAATGATGTTGATGATGATGATGGTGGTGGCAGTGGTGATGATGATGATGATGATGATAATGATGTTGATGATGGTTGTGATGATGATGGTGGTGGTGGTGATGATGATGATGGTTATGATAATGATGATGGTGGTGGTGATGGTGGTGGTGGTGATGATGATGATGTTGATAATGATGATGGTGGTGATGTTGGATGATGTCAATGATGATGGTGATGATAAAGATGTTGATGATGATAGTTATGATGATGATGATCGTGATGATGAAGATGATCATGATGTTGATGATGATAATGGTGGTGGTTTGGTGGTTTATACTCCAATTTGAGAGTAGCAAATACTGCTAAAATATTTTTGAGTTCACTCACGCGCACTACCACAACATTCAAATATTTTGTACACACCACAACTCTCAACTCACATGTTGATTTTATACGGAGGGAGAAAAACCCGGATAACCCAGAGAAAAACCCTTGTGATAAGGGTTTGCCACCCAAAAAAAAATAAAGTAAAAAATAGTAAAATATTACAAGTTAAATTACTGTAAATTGTCTTTCTTTATTTAGGTTGAAAATGAATATGGCAGCTACTTTACATGTGATCACGATTACATGGGTCATCTAGAGAAACTCTTCCGTCAACACCTTGGCAACCAGACTATTCTCTTCACAACTGATGGCTTCAGTAAGAGTATGCTTAAATGTGGTTCATTACCCAGCTTGTTCACTACTGTGGACTTTGGAACAGGTAARGATGAATAAATGAATAAATTCAATGAATGAATGGTAGGAATAAATGAATGTAGAAAGAAATGAATAAATGAAAGTTTGAAAGAAAAAAAAGGAATGAATGGATTGTTCTTATGACTGAAATATATATATGAATGAAAATAAATGGATGGATGAAATGGAATCTATTCTGTACCATAATGGAGGCCCTATCATTTCTTGTAATAGATGAAACGAATGAATGAACAAATGAACTAATGAATGAATGAACCAACAAACTAACGAACAAATGATAGATGGGCTACCTGTGCTTGTTGCGGTAAGGCAGCCCCAAAGAGAGCAGATTGCTTTCTGTCCTAGTAGCTAAATATTAAAAACTCTARGTTATTTTTGTATGTCTATCCTTTAAATTATGATAATCTGTTTATAATCAGGGATAGACCCAGCCAAACCTTTCAAAATTCTGCGAGAATTCCAACCAAATGGACCACTAGTTAATTCTGAGTTCTACCCTGGATGGCTAGATCACTGGGGAGAGCAACACCAGAAAGTTAATGCTGCACATGTAGCCAAATACCTTGACATGATACTTGCCATGAATGCTTCTGTCAATATGTACATGTTTGAGGGAGGCACTAGTTTTGGATTTATGAATGGTGAGCATTAGCACTCATATTTATTGTGTGATATGAAGATTTCATCAAATAAGAAGATGGAAATAGATTGTTGGACGCACTACTATGGGCCATTATTAACAAGATAGCATGGCCTCATAATTAACTGGCTGAACATATGACCAATYGCAGTGAACAAAACTCTATATTTTTCAAGTCTAAAATTAAACTCAACATACCTTATTACACATTTTTGGGTGCAGTATGTGTGGAAATTTTTTTTGACAATGGATTTTACCAGGAGAGTATAAACATACTCTCTTGATTTTACTTTGCTTGCTACTATTTTTCAAAATCTGGTGTTTTCTTTTACTCTACAAAAAATCTAGAGTACAGAAATGTTTGGCCATATGTAGGCTTGCTTGTATACTAAATAAGCAAATACATAATCCTTCAGGATATTTGTACTTCCTCTATAGAGGCTTTCTTCTGTTATGTTTGTATTCTACTGAATATGACTGAATAATGAATTTAACACTACAGAGCAATTTCACTTGTCGTCACAGTGGCCATGTTGCTGTACAGAAACAATACATTTTCTATCCTTGGAAAATTGAACTCTATTTTTATGCAAAAACTGTGCAGAAAGTTTCTATTGTTTGGTACACCGATATGGCTGCCTTGTTACGTCAGTGCAAATGCTCTATTATATGAACTAATCAATGTATATGGTAACCAGGAGCTAATTGTGGATCAAATGCCAGCCAATTCCAGCCACAACCAACAAGCTATGACTATGATGCACCTTTAAATGAAGCTGGTGATGCTACGCAGAAGTATTTTGTTATATTAGAGATCATTGCTAAATACATGGGGCCACCCTCTGGGATGCTTCCTCCTTCAACTCAAAAATATGCTTATGGAAGAGTTAACATGACTAAGGTGAAAAAATCATATAAACATATAGACCCTAAACCTAATGACGTTTCATAACTAAACTACCACAATCCTTTTCAACATATCTTTTCATATTCAAATGTTGAAACTCTTTTAAGAATACCAAGAAAATATTGAAAATTAGCATAACAAAAAGCTATCAAAAACAATTCGGGAAGTATAGGGGAGAGGGCTGGTATAAACCCTCATCAAGTCTATCTGTATAACCTGAACTTAAAAAATTCAAGCCTCCTGAAAACCAGGAATAAGGTTGGAAATAATGGTGGTTTTAAATATTCAGGGGGAAATATTGTATTGTTACAATAGGCTACAGGATGCAACCTCAACTTGGGAAGTTTGAGATATCCTGAGTTAGAGATAACTGGACTCACTTTGCTGTATTTTCAAGTTACATTTGTTAACATAGCCTGGTATTAATGTATTTTTATTATTTTTCTGTGATTATTTTTCTGTGATTATGCCTCAAGCTGTAATAGCAGATATTATGGATGCATGCAAATGAAACAACTTTCCCTATAACTGAATTTCAGAAAAATGGTCTTCCTTTTTGTAAGCAGCACAAAAAATTTCCATTTTCCATCTTTTTATTGTCCCATATTTTTGCTTTTCATTCATTTCTCAGGTGTCTGGACTGTTGGATGTGCTTCCCATTCTCTCACCTTTAGGACCTGTGAAAGCAAGAGTCCCTCTTACTATGGAACAAATAGGACAGAACTATGGGTTTGCCATCTATGAGACACAAATCCCTTCCAAATACACCCACAGCACTGTTACTATCAGCATTCCAGGTGTAAGGGACAGAGCTATCATCTATGTTGGAGAGGTAAAATATCGGTCAGGTAACAAACCTGCCAGTCAAGAGTRCATTTCCCTCTCACCTCTTGGCTCTGGGAGTAATTCCTGGACTCAACATCACATGGGAGTAGATTTTGCCAAACTGAGTCCCCCTCTTCAGTTTCTCCAGAGTTCCACCATTTTGCAATACAACCCAGTACATTAAATCATAAATGAGTTTGAAGTTTTCCGTTCCCTGACTTAAATCAGCCCAAAAGTTACATAAGGCTCATGTCAAACGTCAAAATTCACATGAGCCGAACATAATGACATCAAAGAAGACCGCCTTTTATTCATTGTTTAAATTAGGTTCGGCTCATGTGAAGTTCAACGTTTGACCCGAGATTTGGAGCTCGATAAAATTCTGGACACCTTTGCCTGTTTGCTTTAATTGATTCTTCACTTGTTTCAGATTCGTCAAGCAACCATATCACGCACTGGAAATACAACTGCTGTTCTGACTGTTGGTGCCTTTCTTTCTCTGGCTATTCTCGTAGAGAATATGGGTCATGTTAACTATGGACCATACCTGACGGACCCCAAAGGGATCCTTGGTAACGTTGCCATCAACGATGAGATCCTTCTCGAGTGGACCATGTATCCATTGGACCTAACGAAGTTCCTTGGGTATACTAAACATCATTTGAAGGGTTTATCGAGCGATTCTGATACTCCGAATGCCCCGACTTTCTTCACTGGTAGTATCCCTCCAGCCAGTGATGGTATACCAAAGGATACGTATTTGAATGTCAAGAACTGGCATAAAGTGAGTACAACCTAATTTCTCTTCTCCCTTCCCTTTCCTCTCTTCTTCCTTCCCCTCCCTTTTCCCTCCCTTTCGTTCCTCCCTCCTTCCGTTCTGTCCTTCCTCCTTCCTTTCTGTCCTTCCTCCTTCCTTTCTGTCCTTCCCCCTTCCTTCCTTTCTGTCCTTCCTCCTTTCTTTCCTTTCACCCGCCCTCCTCCCCCCTTCCTTCCATCCAAACGTTTTTTAAAAGTCACACTAAGCAATACATGTCTAATGATGTGTTCTTAGCTCTTATTCTTATTCTTTACTTCAGGGGCAGGTTTTTATCAATGGATTTAATGTTGGTCGTTACTGGCCTGTCGTTGGACCTCAGGAAACTCTATACGTTCCCGCAAGCATTCTTTACTCTGGTCAGAAAACTAGTACGCTAGTGCTTCTAGAACTGGATGAGAATCCCTGTGACTACCCAGAGACGTGTTTCGTAACATTTGATAAGACCCCGATCCTTGATGGACCTGTTAAACCACTTGCCAAACAAAGGAGCAAGATTGCTAAACCTTCAGATCCTTGGATTTCTAAGTATACGAGGGATGAAAGCCGCTGGGATGTAAAGGACAATGCAGTGGACGCACTTCTGAAGAAAGCTATTAAGGGTTTCCATCGTAGGGTTTTGTAAAATACTGTGAGGTTATATTGGTATTGGGTCTGGGAGTGGGAGGGGCCGGAGTGGGGGCGGAGGGAAGGGCGGGAGGGGGGCGGTGGTAATATCATTGGGAAAATTTATTAAATTCAATTGCTTAGTTTCATCTTACGATGTTCTAAACCTTTAAAATAATATTTATGCATTAAAAATCAAGATTGTTTACAGAAACTAGTTTCGTTTTTAAATTTAATCGACCTTTTTAATTGAAATTTTAAAGACATTAAAGATTAAACTAGTTTCCGTAAAGATCTTGATTTTCAATGCGTAAAAAATTATTTCCATATTATGAAATTAACTAAATATTTTGTAATGCAAACAAAGACAATATCAATTATCAATTTATTTCGATGTCTCCGAAATGAAAAGCTGTGCGATCCAATAAGTCTTCAAGAAAAACAGCAAAAAAACGTGCTTTTTCTTTACACGCAAAACTTGCACATTCACGTCTTTTTGTGCGGGCTCCAGCACTCTGTGAAGACACCCTTACGTACAAAGTTCACCAATCACGATGTAGATATAGACACGAGCCAATCAGCAGAGAGCAGAATCAGTAGTATAGAAAGTACCAATCCTGCGACTGTAACACACTCATTTCCTCAGCCGGGCTGTTGATAACACCTTTAGAAGGTATGACCATTATTTTGGGCGTGTAATAGACCTTATTCGTCGTGTGACAATGTTTTCCCAATTCAGCGTGACAAACTTCCAGAGGATTCATTTTCTATTGTTTCTACTCTTCGGAAAATTCGTGACTATCCCAAAAGATACGAAAGGAATAACGATGATATCCCGACGAGTTTCAAAGCAATAGTTGTTCATTCCCCTAGTGGTTTGTCACGTTCAGTTGAGAAAACATAGTCACACCACGAATCAGGTCTGTTAATCCTTTTCCATATCAGACCGAGTGTCGTTCACTTGGAAGTTAGAGGCTTTGTTTGGTTGTATCTAAGTTCATTTTTCTTAAGGGAAAGACGCAGTGCTCTGAAATGGGGAAACATTACGCGTGCAAGCTAAAAAGATATGTTCATATATAGCTTTATAGCTAAGTTTGTAAGGATCTGTATAATTTATATGTGCTGTGCTATGATTATTACGCTCAATAAAACCACGACAGCAAAACTTCATATAATCCGTAAACTTTTCTTTCAATGGGTAGAATTTTGAAAATTGATGAGGGATGTTTTCTAATCTAAAAATGTTATCTTTTGTCACACCTTCGTTTATACGGCAGTGTAAACAGGTTGTATATCAGAGAAATGTTCATCAAAACATGACAAAAAAAGCGGCTTAAAAATAGCTTTGCTTTATTTTCAAAATGCTTTTTGACAATTTTAACAAAACTTAATTATAATATTATCAAAACATAGTCGTTCCTGACTGGAAAATTAATGTTACGGTTCAACTACAATTGTATCTTTGAGTACGTTGGATTCTGCTGTTCTACTACGTTGCCTTGACAAAGGATTCACTTTGTGAAACTGGAAAAAAGAAAAGAAAACATTTTAGTCGATTGGCTGTCGTCAAACAACACTAACCTTTACTAATTTGTGATTCTCTGGCAAGTCACCGCAAAGGGGTAATTGTTTACGTATTGAAGGAGGAGGAGTCCAAAGCAATAGTAGTTTATAGTAATCGAGATTGTTTACCCAATGACATGATTTTAAGGTTTGACTGTCATTCATGGTTCCGACTCAGACAATAGTGAACCAATCACCGTTACAGCAGTTTTCCCAGTGGAATTAAAATCTTGTCCCACAAACAACTACACAGTATCTGTTTTAAGAGTACTACAAGGATTACGAGGCAATTTCCTAATCTTTTCCGCGATCAGAGTTTAAATTTTTGTAGTTAATTTGTTGAGCCGTGAGGCATAGGTAACTAGGCTAGTATAGAGTGGGAACCATGAATTGGTTCAAAGTTTGTCTTTAAAAATAAATGCATTCATGATGGCGTCGTTAACTACAACAACCATTATACACTTTGTTTTCTTCAGTTAATTACTATATTCTCATGCGGGAATTTAAATTTGAATAAAAAAGAAAATTCGCGGAGCATTGTGGTAGTAAACGACACCAACAGGCCTATTCTGTACCGTGAGGGTAGGGAAGTTTCTAACGCCTTCCATACACGATGGTCGGTTGCTATATGGCTTTTGCTCCGGCATCACTCAAAACTGAGAGTTTTAGGCCATTGASAAAAGTAGAATGCATACATTATAACGAAACTTGGTAAGTAATAGGATTAATAAGCTATCGACTAATTTACGTTTCATGTCATGTGACAGCTATTGTGACGTCATACATTATGTCCAAATTTGGCATCGGCTTAAAAAATTTGGAAAGAGATGGTGGAAAACTTATATAAGTTTTCTGTATATAATTCTATGATTTCTGGTGAATTAGCGTATCAAATGACGCTAATGAATATTTTCAATTGTCTTACTTAATTTGAAGTATAAGATACTACTCTGTCAGCCAAAAATTGGAGGTACGAATCATCTTGGAGCAAAAGCCCTAGCAACCGTCCATCGTGACATATATCCGCAAAAAAATCATGTGACTCTCACCTTCGTTACTGGCTACTAGTAGTTACATGGGACGTTTCTTGGCCAATCACATCTGTCGGTGTTCTCGTTGAATCTCAGGTCAGAAGGACAATCAAAATAGTAGGTATAACCATTCGAACACTTAATGAAATCATTGCAGTTAAGAACATCCTTGTAGTCTCCATTTGCCCTCTTTTTACAGAATCCACTACCACGTGTTCCTCCACCAGCACCAGCGCATTTCACATTCCTTGGCAAGTCACATCGTCTTGTCAAGGGATTGAATCTTAGGGTACCAGGGCATTCACGGTAAAACATGTATCCTCTAAAGCAAGTGATGTAACCCTCGCAGTTGGTAATATCTCGATAATTGCCGTTTCCATGGTTCATGCAAAATTTGCTTCGGCGGGCGTTTGTGTCAGAGCTGATGTCATCGCTCAAAGAGTTGCACTTCACATTCCTCGGCCAGTCACACCGATCAGTTTTGGCGTTGTATCTCAAATTTGCCGGGCAGTCGAAGAAGTAGGTCAGATGGTTGGAACACATGATGAAACCATTGCAATTGTTTGGATCGACGTAGTTTCCATTTGGTCTGTTCTTGCAGAAAGTTGAAGGCGAAGGCGTGGGAGGACGGGGGCGACGCGTGGGGCGTGGTGTGGGTCCACACTTTACATTCCATGGCCAGTCACATCGATCTGTTTTGGCGTTGTATCTCAGATTTGCCGGGCAGTCGAAGAAGTAGGTCCG